TGCGCTACCACGCCCGGCTGATTTTTTGACTTATTGTAGAGATGAGGTCTCGCTGCCCGGGCGGGTCTCCACCCCGCGGGCTCAGGCCATCCACTCCCCTCAGCCTCCCAAAGGCGCGGGATGACAGGCTGAGCCACCGAACCCGGCTCTGAGCTATGATCTCAATGAACAAGTGTGATGATGACACGAGAGAAGAGCACCCCACGCAGAGGAAACACGAAGTGTCAAGGCTGAGGCAGGAGCAAGACTGGTATTCCGGGTTCCTATTGTAGAGAGTATTAAGCAAGAGAGAGAGTAGTAAAAGACAGGACAGAGGGACCAACCGGGTTAGATCACAAAAGGTCATGGTAAGGATCACAGCGCTACTCTAAGCGGAAGGGCAAACTACTGAGCTCTTTAAAAATGGGGAAAATGACACAGATTTATATTTGGAGAAAAGTTAAGGTTATGAAATGTTCCAGTGAGGGAAGATTGGTTTTTTTTTTTTCCTTCTTATATAAGCTTATTCAAGTCATCTCTTTGTAGATTAAAGACATCCATTTTCCCAGCTCCCCCAAAATGGCAATAGTTTTTTTCTAACCGCACCCTAACATTCCAGAAGCATCACTTGCAACACGTTACCCCACTACTCTCTAACTTACGATGCCTTTCAATTCTTACTTGTTCTCAGAACTTACTCTCAGTTGGGATCTCAAAAGACCCAGTTGGCAGTACCAAGCCTGGCACTTTATTGCTTCCAAGAACAAGTCATTTCTTACTTCAACCAGTCTAAACTTTCATGCTGGCCTTTAAGATCAGAGCCTGGGCAACTCCCTCAAGTCCCCTCCCACTGAGGAAGCTTGTCTGTCCTCTCAATAAAACCTGCTTTCTCACCAAAAAAAAAAAAAGATCAGAGCCTACCTTACTTGCCCAGAATTACCTCCCGCCATTTTGACCACATTCTCTACGCAGTCTGTCTCCCTCTCACCTGAACAGATCACTAACAAATTCAGTTCCACGACTCCACCCATGTCTCTGCTTTCTCTGATTGCTGGCTTCCCCTTTACTACCTAAATTCCACCCTTTCTTCCCAAACCCCGCTCACCTCCCGCTTCACCCAAAGCTTCCCTTGATGGAGCTGGTCCTCACAGGGCCACCATCACCTAGTCTTGTAACACTCACAATTGACAATTTAGCACTATATCGTCTTCTAGTTCTCTCTACTTTTTCATTTTTAACTGCCTGTATGATAGAAAACATGCTTTTCTGTGCATTTGAAGCAACACACTTTAGCAATTGAAAGCATGGATGCTGAAATCAGATGGATCTGGGTTTGAATTCCAGCTTCACCATTTACTCTCTCAGCATCCTCTTTGTGCTTCGTTTCCTTATCTATAAACTAAAGATGCTCTTGAACCCTTGTTGTTTAGCATTAACTGTCACTCAGTCCAGACAAGGCTCTAGTGTTTATTCAAGGTTATCATTCTCTCAATTGTATATAAAAACTGCAAACCACAGAATAAGCTGTCATTGAGTTTAACCAGTTCCAGCGCCTCAGGAATTTAC